GAACTTGAGATGGAGATGCTGTTGGAATGGTTGTGGCTGGTGGCAGAAGTGTGGAAGGATACGGACAAACTGCTGAGCTCTACTCTGGGTGCCCCAGAGAAGGGCAGGAGACCAAGGTGGGACAGGGCTTGGGGCAGATGGGCTGCTTGGGGGTGTTCATGGATCCTTAAGGTGGAAGGTAGGATGCCTTGTATTCATTCCTCTTGGACAGCTTCTGCTGGGGTTGCCATCATGTTTCTAAACCACTCAGCATTCTTGTCCCATCTGAACAGCATCATGTGGTCCCTTGTAATTTGTTTGGGTCTTGAAAAAGTGGTCCAAGGCTGTTGAATTCAGGATGGGGAAGACTCTAATGGCATTCATAGAGTATAAGACCACCTCACAAGTATCTATGAGGGAATAGGGGGTATGGGCAGAGCTGTGACTACTCCCTGTAGCTATGGGGGCCCCAGGGGTATTCTGTTTGTTGCTCAGGAAGCTGCGGGTGGAGTTGTTGAGTGACTCGTGACATTTTTCCCTGGATATGACTGGGTGCCTTGGTTCAGTCTGGTCCTACTGCATCTTGAAGGAGAAGCATCTTTCCTTCCTCCTCTCTTGCTGCTGCTGCTCTTCCTCCTCCTCCTCCTCCACTTCTTTCACTTCTTCCTCCCTGCGATTGCTGTTGACACAGACTTCCGCTGCCAAAGCTAATTGTGAAGCCTGATCAGTGAATGAAGGCAAAGGCAGTTCCCATGACAACTGCACAGAGTTTCAAATATAAGGGATGATGTGTGTGTGATGGGCTGCAATTACTTGGGTGGAAATTGATGCGTGGACACCAGGGACTTCAAACAGGCTCTGAAGGTGGAGGGGGTGTTGGGTTTCTCCGGCAGGATCCTTTGTGCGATGGAGAGGGAAGGGAAGGAGGTCACTAACTTCTTCCATAGTTGATTCCAAGTGCCTTCAGCATACAGAATGTTGGGCAAACTCTCACAGGGGCTTTGGAAATGCACAACCCCAGTGATTCTGGTTGGGGAGGCAGGGCATGTGTACAGAGAGAACAAATAGCAGTACCAAGTGTCAAATAAGAAATAGTAGAAGTGCCATCAGCTGGCAGAGGACTGGGGTAACCAGAGAATGCTTCCTGGAGGAAGTGGGGCTTGAACTAAGCATTGAAGTAAAGCCCTGTGGACAGTGACCCCGTTCAGAACACAAGCTGTGACAAAGGAGGAAGAGTAGCCAGTCTCCCTCTACCTCTTGTCAACTGTAGAAGAGGTAGAATGATATGAAAACTTACAGAACTGCAGAGCAGCCCTTACTGCACCCTTGTGAGTGAGGGAGTGGCAAGAGCCCCACTCAGTCACTTTCTAGCTGTGTGACTTTGGGCAAGAGTCTTAGCCTTTCTGCATCTTGATTTCAAATTTCTTAAAATGGGTATGACTCATGCCTACCTCAGTGGTTTGTTTTGAAGATTAAATAGGATGCTGTACATCAGGTTCTGGTTTGGGAGCAGGTTGGTGCTTGGTAAATGTTCCTGCCAGTCCCCTGTACCTGTGACTGAATGGCATTCCCTGGTCTTCATATTTCTGTGTGAATTCTGGCCTATGAGTATCCACGTTCCCAAGGTTCTCAGTGTTGGGGTATTTTGTGTGTCCTGAAAGTGACAATATATTTGCCTCTGTCCAGTGGTAGGACTGTGGCCCCGTTCCTTCTGCTGGTAGTGTAGTAGGGGATGTGATAGAAGGTAAGGAGGAACCCTTGGCCATCATTGCAGAGGGGTTCCAAGTCAGAGTCCATTACTGTGAGGCTCCAAATGTAGAAAGATAGGGTGATATAGGGAAGGACATAGAGGTGGAAGTGGGGGGAGCAGTTGTGAGTTGAGCAGAGGGCCCAGGCTGGTGGCAGAGAGGCCTCAGGTGAGCTTCTGGCCCCAGCATGCACTTCTGCGACACTTACAGTCTGGGTACCCCAGAGAAGGGTAGGAGACCAGGGTGGGGCAGGTAGGCTGCCTCAGGAGTATGGGCTCCTTTGGGTTAGCCCTGGGCTGCTGGGGTTCAGGGCCAAACATATGGTTGAGGTTGGGCTGATGGGTCAATTGGAGTGGGACAGGAACTCCCGGGTTCCTACAGACTAGTAAGGAAGGCAGGAGAGCATAGGTTCCTCGAGTCTCAGAGTCTCAGCGAAGAAGGCAGACCAGGAGCTGGTCTTCAAAGCTCAGTGCCCAACCCCCGCTTCTCCATCCTCCCTGCATAGAAACTCAGCTTAGCACATTCCAGCTCTGCGCAGAGTCTAGTAAAGTGGGTAAGACAGGGCTCCCGCCCACGTGGGGAAGACCGCCATGTAAATAAATAACTGCACTGCACTGTGACTGGTGCTTCAGGAAAGGACCCAGGAGGAGTGCGTGGTGTCCGTGGGGGCTTGGTGATCTGGGAAAGCTGTGGAGGGTGGCAGCCTTTGGATTAAGTATTCTGCCTTATTAGCTTGCTGGGAGGGAGAAGGGGACTCCAGGCTGAAGGAGCAGCATGGGCAAAGTCTCCGAGGCATGAGAACATTATTATTCTCAGACCCATAGCTTAAAGGGAAGTGGTCAGGTTCAAGTGACCCAGCCCTGTTTACATTGTCCTGGGATCGGCAGAGGGAGAGGCTAAAAGTCGGACTGAGAAGGATCTAGATTTGAATTCCAGCCCACTACTCACCAGCTGTGTGTTGATAGCAAATAACATCTCTTAAGTCTATTGCCCTGTAACAGACAAGGTTGTGTGTGGGGTAAGTTAAGTAAGAATCCTAGAGCGTAGTTGGCACAATGCCTGTATGTAGTGGCAGCTGCAGCAGAAAACAGTATTACTTATTATTGTCTGGGCAGTGTTAGTCCCTTTTACCTTGAAGCAGAATGAGTGTGTGGTGAATGGTTAGGGCAGGGATTTGGGGGGCCAGGATAAAGGAGAGACTACCTTGTCACCTGCCTCTCTCTCTGCTCTGAGGAAGAACTCATCAAAGCTGCCCTTTGTCCCCAGAGGTGAGGCAAGTGTGGGCTCCAGTGCCTCCTGGAATCTCTTTACTAGAGGTCAGCTTAGCTGTCTCCCCCAAGGCAGCTTATCTCACTCTGAGTGTACCCTCTGTGAGTCTAGGAAGGGGTAGCAATTGGGCATCTGTGGTAGAGTAGGTAGCAGAATGGATCACTGATTCAGAGACTGTCACTCATCGTGACTAGTCCTGAGAGTCACTTCCCCTTCTGGCCTCAGCTTATTCATCTGTGAGAATAAGTCACACCTGGTGAGCTCTTCTAGACACTAAGAGTGATGATAGCTAATAGCACCTACAGCGTGGCAGGCACTGTGTGGAATTTCTTCATGGAATCATCACAACTGTATGAGGTAGGAAATTTTAAGTCCCATTTTGTAAATGATGAAAGTGATGCTGAAAGAGGTAAGGTCCTACAAGGTCCACCAAGGTCCTACAAGTGATGGTACTGGAGCCAGGAACAGAATCTGGGTTCCAGAGTATGTGGCAGTCCACCTTTCGGGGAAGTGAAAGCTCTGGGGTTTTCAGTTACAAAGAGAGGGTGGCGTAGAGAAGGATGCACCTGGTGATGCCCAGGAATTAAACCCAGGAGTGGACTGCAGGCTCTTCCTCTCCTTTCTCTGTTCTTTTTCCTCCTGCTCTGCCTTCAGTCTCCTGGGTATAGGCCCTTAAAAGGCTCAGAATATAGGGATTGGACTGCCAGAATTCATGGGGTCTGGGCTACCTCCCCTCCTCACCTTTTCCTGGGGATAGAAAGTTCTGAGGTTGGTGGTGTGTGTGCCTTCTGTGGCCTTTCCAAGAGAGGAGAAAACAATGTGGGGGTGGAAGGGACTGTTTGGAAGGTATAGGGTGTGTTCAGGTAGGAGAGACTAAGTGATGCTGGTAAGGAGTGGATGTTTGTGTAAGTGGAGAAGGAAGACTCACTAGATCAGGCAGCTGGGGAGGAGGGAAGATGGGCAGTGGGAATGGAGGAGTAAGGCTGCATAATGGTTAAGAGTATGGTCTTTAGAGAAAGTAGACCTGGATTGGAGTCTCAGCTCTGATGTCTGTAGCTGTGTAACCTTGGGTAAGGTCACTTGTTTTGTTTCCTTATCTGAAGAATAGGGCAAAGGTTCCTAGTGCCTAGGCTCCCCCCACCCCAGCCCCCAACGATTGAAGGGGCTATTGCTCCTCATGCTCTTATAGGGCCTGGCCCTGTTCTAGCTGCTGATAGGAAGAGGCAGCATACCGGGATCAGCGTGGCAGGAATTCCACTAGCGTCTGCTCTCCCCCTAGGCGCAGCCGTTCAGCAGTGGGTCATCTTTGACCCTGAAGATGCAGAGGACGTCTTCTGGGTCTTATCTTCAGGGTCCCTTCCTGCAGAGGAGGGAGGAGGTACGCTGGTATCTCCCAGCCTGTCAGAGAGTGGTGGCAGGGTTGGGAAGCCGCCAGCAGCGCTCGGCAGCACCCTTCCCGGTGGTGCCCCGGCTTCCCGGCTGGGCAGGTCCAGCCGCCGGCCCTGCCCCCGCTCGGCCGGCTGCCGGGATTGGCTGGCGAGCGCGCCGCCCCTCGCACACCATCCTCGCCGGGGCGGCGGGGAGGGGAGCCAAGCCGGCAGCTGGCCGCCGCCGCCTCTGCAGTGCCTCCCTCTGTGCGCTCCGGCAGGGATAATGGGAGGCCCGGCGGCTGGTCGATGCACCAGAGGAGGCCGGCCAAGGTAGAGCCGGCAGGGCGCGGGGACAGGGGAGACCCACGCAGGGCGGAGGGGCAGTGTTCTCCTGGACCCCAGAGAGGGTTAAGAAAGGAGAAATGAAAACAAAAACACAGGAAAGCGGAGAAGCCTATCAACAGTGATTCCGGGTGGCAGCTGCAGGCAAGAAGATGGTCCCTGCTATCCTTTCTTTCTCAGACCCCCTCCCCTCTGTCTCCGCCTTCCCCTTCAGTGGTGGTAGTACAGCAGACGGACTTAGCTTCTTTCCTTCTATCAGTCTGGCTCATCAGCCTCTCTGGCTTCTTTGCAGGTGGAAATAAAGGCTGGAGAAGGAGCCGGGCTGTGGGGACAAGGGACAGCTGTCAAGGTACCTTGTATGTGTGTGTGTGTGTGTGTGTCTGTATGTGTGCGCGCGCGCCTGCGCGCGCGCCTGCACGCGCGCGTCTGCACAGTGGCGGTGGGGAGGGGTGAAGTGTTTGACTGGATTTGATAAAAATAAAGGGTCTTCTCTGGTGACCCCTTAATCTCCCACTGTGTGTAACAGCAGCTGAGGGGGAAGGGTGGGGGATGTGGGTGGCCAATGAATTCTCAGGCCTGTGTGGGTTTTGTTTAGATTCTTTTTGCTTTCTCAGCTGGATGGTTTGGGTGCAGTTGGGGTTTTGTTTGTTGCACTGTTATTATTATTTTTAAAGACATGCACCCCACTCCACACTCCTGCCTCTGAAAATCTCTCGAGAATGTCCCTGGCCTTGTTGGTTTGCATCCAGTCTGCAGAAATCCCGGGGGGTGGGGGGGATGGGAATTGCACTCCTGAGTCTGAAGCTGATAGGGTGTCATTAGTCATGCTGCTGTCACCATGGAAATGACTGGAGAGGAGGTGGTGGGGGTGAGGATATTTTGGGTAGGGTGGGGGCTGATGCAACATCATGGCTGGGAATCCGGCGGGGCGTCTGCTGTTACTCTGTGTGGCTTGGTGTCTGGGGGACTGGGAAGGGAGCATTACCAGGTGTGTGGGAAGCAAAGAAAGGGGGCTGTGCTTCTCCATGTGGTTTCTGAGGGTGGGGGCTGGCATATATAGGGCAGGGGAGGGGAGAGTCCAGTGGGGTGTCAGCACCAGCCTTGTCAGGTATAAGGCCATTACACTGAAACCACAGCCATTCCTCTCAGATTGCCAGGGGTCAGGGTCTTTGAGGTTTCCTTGGGCTTTGCCTCTGTTTTAGGATTACTCAGCAGTATCTTAGGCTGGGAGAGGAAAACAGAGTTGAAGGCAACTCAGTGTGGCTGCCCCTCAAGTCCAGAGCAGAGTGGTTAGGGAAGGAGTGTGAGGGGAAGGATGGTTGGGCAAGTCAGGATGGGCCTTCCATCCTTGGATGGAGAACACCTGTTCCTGCCCTGGCCTGCCAGGAGAGCCTGGTTCCTTTGGTAGCAGGTGGGTGAGCTGCTTTGTGTCCCCAGATGCTCCTAGTCTTTCCTCCCTGGAAACCCTCCTATTGCTTCCTGGGAAAGCTGTGGGAAGCTCCGTGGAGGTACTGGAAGTGGCACCCTGCTGCCTCACTGCCTGGGTGGGGGCCCTACTTCCCCATCTGGGGTAGGGGCTCCTGGGTGAGGCTACAGGGTGGATGAGGAGGCCAGGGTGGTTCCCTGGCCTCCTCCCAATAAACTGGAGGCAAGGAAGCACTTGGGGGAGGGACAAGAATTTTGCTTCTGGGGGAAGGAGAAAAGCCAGGTGGCATCGGCTCCCCAGGGGAGCTGGGCATGTCTTGGTGACTCTAGGTATAGTGGGCGATCCCCAAGCCTGGGACGAGACTGTGGGAGCCTCTGAGGCAAGCAGAGTGGTTGGTACTGGCAAGACTGTGGGTGGGGAGGAGAGAGCTTTGAGCTCACAAGGGCTTTTCTCCGGAACAGAGCCCCCAGTTTCCACCTCCACTTCCTCACCTGGCCTCCCACTGCTGCCTAGGGGAGCTGTCAGTATGTGTGTGCTGTTGCAGGGTTTGGAGTATGGAGGTTGTGGATTGGACCTCTTCTGCCTCCGCTACCCTGGGAAAAGCAGGGCAAGGGGGTGATGCCAGATGGGCTCAGGGAGGGGGCAGTACCCCCTCCTCTGTACCTCCGGCCTTGTCAGCCAGAGCTTCCCTCTCTACTGGGAGGAAGGACTGCCAGCAGATTTGTTTACTCCTGAAAGCACCCCCTCCTGCCATAGTGGTGCTCTCCCTGGCAGACCTGCTTCCCTTCAGCTCTTTCCAAGTGTGCTCCATTTCTTCCTGCCTGCATTCTGCTGGCCCAGGAGGGTGGCGGTTTTTTGTGGTCCTATTGGGAGGCTCCCAGCCTAACAACTCAGTCCTTAAGGTTGTGGGCATGTGGCAGGGGCTCCTTGGAAAACCAGTCTTCCTTCTCTCCAATTCTTAGAGTGGGTCCCAAGCTGGCTGAGTTTTTAAAAGTCTGAGGTGTGTCTGTGCTTGTTTTACTGTTGAGCCATCTGTCTGATGATCATAGCTTCCTCTCTGCCCAAGTTGGGCACTGCCAGCAAACACTCAGGTCTGAGTCCTCTATTCCTGGTGCCACCTCCCCTCCACATGGAGTTTTTTTAGGTGGCCAGTTGTGTGTGGTGTCTCATACCCTGGAACAGGGCAGCTCCCCTCACCACTGTCAGGTATTGGTGTAAAAAGAACTGTTTGGTGTGTGAACTCCTTCTCAGATCATAAGACTCTGGGACACAGGATAGCTGGGGTGTCATAGTCTGTGTTCCCATGGGATGGATGCAGATAAGTAAGCCCCAAGGGTGAATAGTGTCTAGCAGCCAATAGGAATATGCCTGTCATTCTGTGCTGGGTCCTGCCAAGGTATCAAGAATATTCGATATGTGGCTGTACATGAAGTACTACAAATGGTGAATGCACTTGGGTGCTAACTGAAAAATTGGAGATTTGAGTCTACCCAGGGGTGCCTTTGGAGAAAGGCCTAGTGGTCTACTTCTGAAAAATCAACCATTGAAAACCCTTTTAGCATAGTTCTACCATGACACACATGGGGTCACCATGAGTTAGAATCTGTTTAATGGCAGCTAGTCTGGGTGCATATAGGGCCTAGTACAGGGGTTTGCACAGGATTGAGCTTGATAAATGCAAGCTGACATTTTCCTGTCTGGTGTGTTGTATGTCTACCCATGATATATCAGGGAACATACCCTACCATACACTGTTGCTGCTGCCTCCTTCTTGGCAGTTTGGACACTGGACTGCCCTGCTTTTGGGCTCCCAGGCTGCTTCTACGCCCATGGGAACCCTGGCTGGCTGAGGATGTCTGGGAACTATTTTGGGACTGTGCCCAGGATCTCGGCCTTCTATCTCTCCTTTGACCACTACGGGAATGCCCCTTTGTTAAGGAGCTCTGATCCTTGACTTTCTACACACCATGGCTCACTCCTACTGGTTCTGTTCTTTCTTGCCTGTTTTTCTCACTCTCCAGTCCTTTGTGAGAGGCCAAGAAGAATCCCTTCTCTCTGAGGTTTGTTTACAAGCAGCAGAACACCTGGGGAGATAAGGAAGCAGCTGAGCAGGCCAGGCTAGAGCATTAAAGAAACCAACCAAGAGAATATTGATGTAAACTTTGAGGATGAGGTGAGAGACAGGCTTATTCATGGTACTTGATAAGAATTGGAGTTAGAGTCCCAGAGCTCAGCTCCACCTCCTTGGTGACCCCACTCTTTTTTGAATGTCATGGGAGAGGGAAAAAATTTGCAGGATAGACCCATGAGTGGGCAGAAGGGAGAGCTAAGACTCCTGGAGCTGTGCTACAGTGATGGCCAACTATAGCTTCTTACTGGGTTCACTGAAGAGGGTCGTGGGTACTTGGCTCCCTCCAGCTGCAGATGGACAGTTCTGCTAGAAATGGACTTTGTGATCTTGCCAGGACCCTCCCCTAGGCTGTTGGCTGGAGAAGAGGAGGGGCTTTGGTTTGGCTCAGCTTTTGGCTCACTCACCTTAAATTGGGTCTCCCAATTCTTTTTCTTCTTTTTTTTTTGTAAATTGTGATTTGGGTGAAGATTTACAGAGCAAATTCACTTTCCATACAGCAGTTCACATATACTTTGTCTCATGTCACTGACCACAGTTTACCACAATGCAACAGCTCCTCTCCCACTTCCTCCCCATAGTTAACCTCTTCCCAGTGACCATCCCTCCATACTCCTCTGCGCCCTGAGCTGTCTCCCTGTGCATAAGCAGCCCTTCCTTCTCCCATGATTGTTCTCTCCAGGGCGTGTGTCTACTTGAGGTAAATGTTTAACTCATATGCCTGTACTTTGTTTGGCTGGAAACCACAGGTGTGGGTTCAATTCCAGACCTGAAGGGCAGCTCAGGGCCATAGTCAGTGGTTCCACCAGGCTCTACTGGACCAGCAAACCTGGTCCCCACCTTCTTCTTTTTTTTTTTTTTGCCTCCAAATGATTTTGAGTTTTGTTCCACATTGTTCTCCCTCTCTATCCAGTATCTCCTACATCCCTTCCAAGTAGATGACAGTGGTAGCCGGCCACCATCTAGTTCTTCTGGTCTCATAGTTGTGTAGGTTGCAGATCGGATGGTGTACCAGTCGCTAGGACTGATTGTTTCCATTAACTTTGGTTTTCTTCTTTCTTCTTGACGAGGAGAGACCCATCGTTGCATCTAGATGGCAGCTTGCTAGCTTTTAAGATCCCAGTCGCTACTTGCCAAAGTAACAGGTGGAACAATGTTTTATATAGTATGTTATGCCAATTGAGCTTGATGTCACCTGTGACTATGGTCCCAAGCCCACAGGGGTCTACCAATTCTTGTAAGTCTTGTTTTTCTCATCCCTGACCTCTTAGACTTGATTCTTCTCACATCTGGGTATCTGGCAGTTTGCTGAGGACTCACCCTTGCTTCCAGTGTCTGCAGCTTCTGAGAAGGAGATAGCTTCTTTATAGATTAATTTAGGAGGCTTTGGATGAATATGGGACAGGAGTGGCTTGGGTGATTAAAATCTGTAGAATATCGTGCTGTCCAGGGTTATGGCCCTATTCCCATCTTTTCTTTTTCTTTTTGTTTTACAACATTTACCGAGCACTTACCATGTCCCAGTACAGTACTAAGTGCTGAAAGATTATTTGATCTTCACAAAACCATTTGAAGGAAGAGGCTCAGAGACATTAACTAAATGACCTGAAGTTGTAACTATAAGTGGGAAAATCAGCATTAACAGTTTTATTTTTATGCAGTAGATACTTTTGATCTTAATGCTGTTTGGGGCTGTGGACTTGTACATGGCAGACAAAACCCCTCACCCACTCTGCACCTCAGCTCTTTACGTTTCCTTTTGTCACTGGCTCAAGGCAGTAAACTCTGATGCTCA